CATCCCCACAGACTCCTGCTCTGGGAAGACCAGAGGCCTGCCGAGTCACTCTGCGGTCTCCTTTACAGGGAACGGACAGCCTTCCCCTGTGCAGGGCTCAGTGGGACAAAGCACAGCCGGCCAGGGATGGAAGGGAATCCAGCAGGCCCGGGTCAGCACTGCCCTGGAGACCCCACTTCTGCCCACAGTGATGCCAAGAGCCCAATTTTCTCGGCGCCCTGTTGCTCAGAGTTGCAAGCAGGCTGAGGCAGGGCTCATACCTTCCAAAGACTTGGGGCCACAGTGGCCAAGTGCCCCTGGGTGCCGACCACCTTCACACCATCCCCTCCTGCAGGGTGGGAATGCAGGCCCCAGAGGGGTCCAGGAGGGAGTCTGCGTGGATGGGGCGGCTGTCCAGGAAGTCCCGTTCCAGGGGCTCCCTCAGGGGCGCTGCATGCCTGCCAGCGCCGTCCTCACCATGCAGTCCTCTGCCCCGCTCTCCTCCCGTTGGGCCCCAATCTGTGATGGAACAGAGGGGAGACATGGAACTGGGCCCCACCCAAGCCATCAGGAGGGCTGGAGGCCGAAGCCCAGACCACTCTGCAAGTCGCCATCATGGCTCATACCAGAAGGGGCACAAGTGGGCCCAGCAAAAAAGCGATTCATGTTAGAAGGTAATTTCAGAAGGGACACACAGAAATGCTACCGATTCATGGCTCATTAACAAGGAGAGGTCATGGCCTGGGGCATGAAGAGCCCACCCAACCTCAGGTCCCGTGGTGGAGAGAGAAACCGAGGCTCAGCCTGGCTCCAGGCCTCCTGGGAGGCCAGCCTGTCCCTGGTGTCTGTTAATGGCTCAGAAAAAGTCTGGCCCACTTCCTGGTCCTGAGAGGCTGCCTGGGTGTGCTCACTGCCACCTTTGCAGGTTGCATAGCCCCTGTGGGTACCACATCGGCCCTGGCCAGGAGTTGCCCTGAGGTGACACGGCAGAATAAAGCCGTGACAGGATGGAAGTGACACAGTGTCCTGTGTGCAGCTCTGGGGACAGTGCCCGGCAGCCGGCAGCAAGCACAAGGCTCTGCCTGACCACAGTTTGTGCTGTTTCTGCCCCGGGTAACCTTGTGCTCCTGAAACACAAACAGCTCTGTCTCAGGCTTCTACCCCAGAGAACAGGAGAAGGCCCTGCGGGCTGCTTATCATCACTGGGCACTGCCCTTCTCCTCCTCTCAGCCCTGTCCTGGGGACACAGGCCAGGGCCCCGGGCTCACAGCCTCCCACACCTGCCCCTGCCCAGGAG